TTGTTAAACACTCTGGGGGGGGGTACGAACAGCTAATGATATTTATCTTTAAAGAAGTCAAATTCGCCCTCCCTGCGCAACGGCCCAAAACATCGGCTGTCCAGAAGCATCAGTAAGATCATCTTGAAAATTTCCCACAACGGTGTCTGCAAAGGATTCTCAGCAAATGATGGCACGACTGTCATGGACGAGCAGGTGATTGCGATTATTCTTTGGCTTAGCTCATCCAAGAGCCCAAAAAATGGTTGCAAATCTGAAACAATTCAATCATTAATATAAGCGTTCGATAAACTGTTTGCAACATAAGACGCGTTTTCCGATAAAACGAGACAATGGCTATAAACTACAGATGATCAATGAACTCCTTGCCTCGTCTTTGCGAAGTATTTGCTTCTTGCACTGTATTATATGCAAATATTGCCCTTGGGCCATAACCAAACTGTACGATTTATTTCCGTTCTGACCAATACATAAAATTTTTACTAGCGATGTCAGTGATGCAAACGATGGTAATTGTACTGGTTGCGGTTTGCCCCCATGAGTAAATTTTTTTGTGACGAGACTTAAAATCAGAGCAGATCTTACTACGGTGGTTAAGCATTCGTCCATCAGCACTGTACCATTTAGATAAACATATGACATCATTTGTTTAGGTCGAGTGAAATCACGTTTGCTGCTGTGGTGGGTGAGAGTTTCGACCTTTTAGCAAGTTTCCAGAAGGTGGAGCACGAAAAGACGAAAGAATGATCATTAATCTTAAGTTTGAATGGCTCGGAGTTCTAAACGCATCCAAATCCCTAAGGGTCTGGATTAAAAAAGGCATAACTAAGGATTTGTACGTTGGGGAGTGACATCGAGTTAAACTCGTTGCGTGTCGCCTTCACATTCGATTTACAGATGGCCAGAACTTCATGCATCTGATGGGTCGGATCATCGAGAATCTTCTTGGCGTTTCTGATATCCGTCTCAATTGTTGCGGCAGAAGCCTTCCAGCGGCAACGCAGAACTGCATAATCAATGACCGATGCGCATCAAGGAACACGGGTGCAACATGCTTTGTTACAGAGACTGCACATCAGTACCAGAACTGCCAACAAAGCCAAATAGATGCACCTAATTGCCACTTTACTTGCCGTTCATTTGAAACATTCCGTAGGAACCTCGTTCGAAAAACGCACCTCGTTCTATGGCCCTTCAGTCCTTCCTTCTCCCACTACTTCGATCTCTCATTCTTTCGTTCGTTTGTTCACTCATTCCTTGGCTCGTTTATTCATGAATTATTTCACTTATGTAATTGTTCATTCGCTGACTCATTCATTCACTCGTTCTTTCATTCATTGGTTGATTAGTTTGTTCTTTCCATTATCCATTCATTCATTCCTGCATTCGTTAATTCGTACTTTCGTTCGTTTATTTATTTTCTCATTCATTTTTAAATCCACTTCTTTGGGGTCTCAACCGCAGGTAAATAAAGTCGCGTCGAAACGCTTCTGTCAAAAAAAGGATTTTATATCCTCCTTTTAATTAT